GTCTGGAGTAAATCATTATGTCAACAAACCCAAAAAAGATTGCAAAGGCTGTAGCAATTACTTAGAAAGCCAAGACTTTAAATGGCTTGAGTAACTTAAATGTGCAATTGCCAACACCATATATGGAAACCCAGTATATTCCTCAGACTTTTAATTGTGCTAATGGGAATTCCCGAATATTGTCTTGCTCCTTTTTTAAATAATAAACTTTCCCATGATGTGAACTCTTTCTCAAGTATATATTTGGTACTTATTTTGCATAGTTGAGATGTTAATAGTTCCTTTTTGGGAACTCTTCATTTTTTTTTTTTAAATGGCAATAGCATTTTGGCAAAAATAGGAATATTTTTCATCATCTGAAAGTCAAAGTGAGGCTGAAGATGTAGCTCAGCAGTAGCATGCTTGCCTAGCATCTGTGAGGCCATGGGTTCAATCCCTAGCATCACAAAAAAAGAAAATAAAAAAGGCAAAAGATAATTCTTATTAAGTGATAAAACTTTAATATTTAGAGGTGGAAATGGCTTCTTAACTCTGTTTTTTGAATGTGTTTTTGAATGTGTTGACACAGCTCACCTACCAGAAAGAAAACTATTCAATTTTGCAAGATGAGCCCTAAAGGCTAACTAACCCCTCTTTGTAATAAGTGTCATTTGCTTCAAAGAACTCAGATGGGCAAAGAGTTCCGAAATCTAGGAAATCCGAGAGAGGCTTTGCCCTAGAAGATTAAATGTGAATCGTAGAAGCCGTGAAAGAGTATAAGAAAACTAGGATTATCAAGTAATCAGAACTCAAAGATTAAAAAAAGCCACTATTTCCTGTCTGCTTTTTTATTATTATTATTCATTCAAATGTTAAAAATTCTTCCAGTTGTCATCTCTAAAAAATTCACAAATACCACCCACTCCTTCTTTCTCCACACACTATTCCAGAGTGTCGGGGGAAAACCACTGGTCACACTGAAGAAGGGTAAAATGGCTATAGACCAGGGAAGAAACTACATACTTTGCTTTAGTCTCCAAGTCGGTCCCCTAGTTCAAGGGAAGAGAAAAAAATCCCTGCTAAGGAAAAGGATTTTTCTATGAATAAATATAAGTTCTTTATGAACATGTGCTTTTTAAAGTACATATATAGAATACTACTGGCTCACAGATTTTTTTCCCCCTAGTCTCTGCTGATTTCTGAAGGATCAATGGAAATAAAAAATTACTCTCTAATTTTGTCCTGGCAAGATTGCCTAGCCATGGCTTTCCTATTGAAAAGTTAATGGGAACACAACTTATCTGACAGCAGGAACTCAAGATTAAAGACAGCAAGCTAAGATTAAAGCCATAACCCAATGAGCCCAGATACTAGTCATTCTTGGAGCATTAGAACATAAGAAAGCAAACTCAGCCTTTATATTTCTCCTCAAAAATTCTGAGAGAAAATATCTGGCAATTTTATACTTTTTTTTTTAAAGCTACTTTTTATTCTTACTCAATGTTCCTGTCTAGTCTCTTATCAATATCTTATTCTAATCTTACCACAGATAACTCTATTTTCTTCTATATACCTGTACTTCTTCTTCTTATTATTATTTTAAAAAAAACACAGTCTATTGCCCAGGCTAGCCTCAATTTCTTTATTTTATTTTTTATTTGTTCTTTTTAGTTATACATGGCAGTAGAATGTATTTTGACATATTATACATACGTGGAGTATAACTTTCCATTCTTGTGGTTGTACATGATGTGGAGTTACACTAGTTGTGTATTCATATGTGAACACAGAAATGTCCAACACCTTTTCTTATTCTGTGGTATTCCCTTACAACTACTCAATGGCCCAAACCCCAAACTAATATTATAGAGGTTTCTTTTTTCTTCCATTCCAGCATCCAACTCCAAGTCAAGAATGTTCTATCTTCCAAATATGCCTGGAATTTAGGCCCTGCTATCCACCTACACCGCTCAGGCCCTCAACATTTCTCATTTGTACACAACAATAGTCTTTAAACTGTTCTCCCAATTTACAGTATTGCTGCTTTCAGGCCTCTGCCTAGCCCAAGCTTGATATGGCCTCCTGGATAGTCTATATAAAATCTTTTAAGGCTGGGAGTATTGCCCAGTGGTAAAGCATTTGCCCAGCACACACAAGGTCCTGGGTTCAGTGTTGGGAATGGCTAACCTAACACTCAAATCTGGACTGTATCAAAGTTTATGTTCTTTCTAACAAAACCTTTTTTGGGGTGGGGTGGGGTGGGGTGGGTAATAGTGGTACCAGGGATTGAACTCAGAGGCACTCAGTCAATGAGCCACATCTCCAGCCCTATTTTATTTAGAGACAGAGTCTCACTGAGTTGCTTTATGTCTCGTCAGTGCTGAGGCTGGCTTTGAACTCTTGATCCTCCTGCCTCGGTCTTCGGAGCCACTGGGATTACAGGCTCTAACAAAATCTTTCTAAAACATAAATCTCATCTACTCTCTGCCTTCCCAGCTCCATACAGAGTCCCCGAGTGTCTTCACATGGATTTAAGAGTGATCCTGAATGTACCATAAGGAGCCTGAGCTACAGTGTTTCCAAAATTCAGAAGAGTTTCACCACCAAGAAACAAAATAGTCCAAACAAATGAAAGGAAAGATTCCACTGAGTGAAACAATGTCTTAGTGATGTAGAAGATTGACATTTGGGCCCAAACTTCTTATCTGGATGTGAAACTATAAAACAAACTATTGTGGGATCAGAGGCTGGTCCTTGGATGAGTTTGTTTCACTAGAGTCAATAGATACAAACAGCTCAGATAAAATACCAGCACAGCTGATGGCTGAGCTCCTCTTAATCTCCCAGCCTTCTAGACTCATGTACCATCCGAACCAGGCTTGTTCCCGTCTCCTATTGTCACTGTACAGCCTCTTCTAGAATGTCCTTCCTCACCTCCTGCTTACCCATTAAAACTCAGAAATCAATAATACCTTTGTGAAAGGGTCCTTTGGCTGTGTCAGGCACAGATAAATACTCTAGACCCAGTGTTGCCTCTCAATCTTCAGGAACTACTCATTTCACAGGTATTATACTGGTATGAAAATGATCTGTTGTTCTGGTCTGTCTCTTCAAACTGTGAACTCTCCCACAGGAAGACATTAACCGTATTCACCTTTGTATCATTAGTGCTAAGCACAGCATGCAATCCAGAGTAGATGCTCAAAAAATGAATGAATTGAATAAAAGACTTAAAAAGTTATGAGTAAATGGAAAGGCACTGAAATGGACTGCTATTTCACACTCTGTGATAGATATTTCACATATATTATATCCTATTAGTCTTCCCAATAGTCGTCTCCTTGGGGTAAGCAGCATTCCTCTTATTTCAAAAATGTGAAGCCTGAGGTTGAAAATCTTAAAGATCTTGCTGCTGGTCTTATAACCAGGTAATGGCCAAATTAAACCTCAAATCTGGATCTTGTCAAAGTTTGTGTTCTTTCTACTGTGATTGACTACGCTTTGAGGCCAAGGTTTTGATCCTGTGATCTTTGTCATCAAATCAGCTACAGACTTTAGTGTTGACAGATTACTTTTAAATTTAGAGGTTAAAGCAACTAGGATCCAGCCTCATTTTTTTTCTTAAATTTTTAGTTGTAGATGGACACAATACCTTTATTTTATTTACTTATTTTAATGTGATGCTGAGGATCGAACCCAGTGCCTCACACATTCTAGGCAAGTGATCTACCACTGAGCCACAACCCTAGCCCTCCAGTCTCATTTTTAACTTAATAATTATGTATTAGAATTTCTCAGTAGCTTCAGATAATTTGAAGTAGAAGTGTTATTTAAAGAGAATCTTAAAAACAGACATAATTTTATAATGTTTCCCATGGTTTTAAGTAAATAATGAAAAATAGCACTATTGCAATCTGAAATTTTATATGAAACTTCTCCATTTGGTCTACTTTGGTTATTATATTATCATGTAAAACACTGAGCACTAGATGGATACAACAGATGTAAGAATTTAAGGTAATGTACATATACACACACTAGTATATACACATTATGTATGGGTTTCTCATCTGTTTATCTAAAGATAAGGACAAGCTCAGTGGAGTAATCACAGCACTTAAGACATTAGAGTGATAGGACTTCCTTTTATATGTTATTACCAAATTATACCTCCTGTTTTTACATATATATTTCATAGTAGAGCAAATTATGATCATGGTTTTACAAATGCAAATTATACAATTACTACAAGTAGAACTTGACTTTTTTTTCATCCTTTCTACATGTAAGTTGTATCTTTCTTAGTGTTCTTCTAAAGTTTTAAATCCACCTTTGTTGGAAGGCAAATTCTCAAAGCCACAAGCAACACCCCTGAGAAGAACTCTATGTGAATGTAGCATTCTTTACATAAACATAGTGTAATAAAGGGACTTTGGGTTTTGCCAGTGCTTAAGAAGTTAGTGTTCCTTTATTATTAAACCCTTCAGCCATGCAGTGAAAAATTTAATAAAGTGAACATGTCCACTACAGTTACAGTGTTTTGTACAGTTTACACAAGCCATTGCAAGTTTCATGCCTACACTGAAAGATGGGATTTATTTCATAGTGTGAAAAGAAACTTTCAACAGTTGTTTTTAGCAGAAATTGTTAGTACTCAAGGCAGAGAGAGACTGAAGATCAAAATTGTTGCATCATTTCTCAAAGCCTAACAGGCCAGGTAAATAACCTGGTCTCCTTTAGAGGAGGTGTGCGTGTGTGTGTGTGTGTGTGTGTGTACAGCCAGACATGATCAGAATGCCCTGAAAGTGGCCAATTTAATACCCTCGCCTGAGTGTTCTTTTCTTAAATGAATTATCGACAGAAACCTCTTTCCCTCCTATCATCCTTAGGAGGGACCAACTTGGGTGGAGGACTTTGGCCAGAAACACATTTTCCATCATCTAAATAACATGAAACGCACAAGGGCAGGAAGGAAAGTTTGTCGTCTTCTTTTTAAAGCAAAAGTAGAGCATCATACTTACAAAAGCCGCCTTCAGAATCTTCTCTTGAGAAAAAGCTCTGGGAACAGGGAGGAGGCAGAGGAGCAGAGATAAGGTGGCAGCAGGACTTCCTTCCTCATCGTGTAGGGGCGAGTCATTGTTACTTATCGGTCCTGACCTCCGATGAGCTCTGGGAGCCAAGAAGGCCTGGCCTCTGATCCTCACTGCCCACCCTCCTGGCCTCTGTGCCTCGGGTTTCCTATTTGCAGATAAAGCTGCCCGGCCTGACACCGGCCCCAAGATTCATTAGGGACTGTCTGCGAAGTGCTTGCAAGATGCTGAGGGTTATATAAGCCCGCGTATTATTATCATCACACACCCCCATAGAACCAACGCTGCCAGACAAACAAAAGGCAGTTCCAAGAAGAGGAGGAGCAGAGGCAGAAGTTACACTGGGGGTGAATTTCGGGACACTGCTGAACTGACTGGGGGAAAAAAAAAAGGGCAACTCAATATGTGTATGCAAAACCTCGGCAAACAAACAGTGCGCTGCAGCTGGCCGGCCGGCGGGCGAGGGAGGAGGGGGCGGGAGGGAGTCCAGGTTTCCAGGCGTGCGGTTCCGGCTCCCCGGGGCGCCCTGCACAGTAGCTGCCGGTGGCAGGATGGAGTGCACGAGGAAGACGTGGTATTGGGGAGCCAGGCGTTCCAGATACCAAGTGCTTAGGAAACACTGATCTTTTCCTAGACTCGGGCCAGGTGCTCCTACCTCTCTTTATTCCGGGTCTCTTGTTTTCCTAATGATGGTTTGCAAGGAGATCCCAGTGCCCTGCGGACTCCTCTGTTTTAATCCTCTCCAGGTCTCTTGCTCTCTTCTCAGTGGGAGCAATAACCCGGACCCCGAGGGCTTTTTTTTTTTTTTTTTTTTTTTTGCACCAGACTGGGTCTTCTGAAGAAGTTGCGATTTACTCCGAGCACCAAGCTTCCCTGCCACCAAACCCCGCCCCCTCCCAACTTGCTACTCATATTTTCTTAAGATTTATTATTATCCTGCCCTGCCCCTGGCACTGCTCCCCAGCATGTAAAAGAAATTCCTCATCCTGGCATTTAAAAGCCCACAATTTTTGTCTCCACACTAATTTCCCACTTCCCATCCCGCCCTCCAGCGTCACCTATCCCCAGCACATTAGAATATGAATCATTTTCTAAAGATGACCTTTGGGTTCCTCCATTTCCTAGCCTTACTCACATCCACCCTCCCCAGCAGGGAATGGCCTCGCTGCTGTTCTCTCCCAGGCTCAGTTCAAATCCCTGCCCCCCACCCCCACCCCGCGCGCAAAAGAGTTCCCAGACTTCCACTCTTTTCTCGCTGTTAACACTGCGTTTTCTGTTGTTCCTCATGGGTTGTCTGTCTTCATAGGTTGGGACCTGTGCTTATTCTCTCTGGGTGGCCTGGGTCAGGGGGCTGGGGAAAGCCAGGGCTTAGCCAGTGCTTACTGAATTAACTGACAGGTGATCCAGTCTTACCTGGGCCATCACCTTGTGAGCTTAGGTGATGACCATCACATGGATAGTAAAGTATGTATGGTGGTCGGTGGTGTGCAGTAGGTTCATGAGGCTTTGTGGTACCCCCTACTTTTGGGAAATGTTTGAAACTTTTCAGTAGTTAACAAATAGCTCAATGGTACAGTGGTAAAGCACTTGCTTAGAATAAGGCTCCGGTTTTAGTCCCCAGCGGGGGAGAGTGAGAGTGAGTGAGTGAGAGAGATGCAAAGCAAGCTTTTATAAAATGTGGAGGGGAATATCTAAACTTAAGTGGGCTTCCTTTAGGACAGTTTAACTGCTGGCATCCAGGGAGGCTCTCCTACTGCATAGTAGAAGACCTTTATAATATAAAGTGGAACTCACTTTGCACAAGGCCAGGTGAGATTTTCAGAAATCACATACTCTGGGATGCATTTATGGGGAGACTCCTCCACTTTCGAAAGAATGTGGGCCATCACCACAGCCACTCCACAAATGAGCAACAGCTCTCTGGCGAATTGTTTTATGATATACGGTGAAATATGGAACAGGATCTGTCAGGTACTGAATTTCTTGTGGCTTTGTAAAAAGTGTTCTTGATGACATTTTCTCTGTTTTTCTTTGGTAAAAGCAACATGCTTTAAATTCCATCTGTGCGGGTTGGATAGGCCGTGGTGTCATTTAAGAGACTTGGGGTGTGTCTACACAGCACACGCTTTCCCATGCATACAGAATGTTCAGTGAATTAGAAGAATTTTCCCACCTCCACTAATTCGGAACAATCAAAACCAGTTCAGGTTCTAAAGAATTTCCGTCTTGAGTTCTTGGGGGTTTGACTCAAGAATGACAGGGATATCACTGCAATTTAGAAGTTCAAGTAGGCTCTTCCCTCATTTTATTCTGCTCAGATCAGGGTCATAACCTTTATTAGAGCTACCATTTATCTCTACTAGGTTTCTGACACTAGGCTAGGTGTTTTTCATGCAATCATTTTGTGTGTGTGTGTGTGTGTGTGTGTGTAGGGATCAAATCAGGGCTTGGTGTCTGCTAGGCAAGCACTCTACTACTGAGCCACACCCTATATGCATTCTTTACCCAGCAATATTCTAAAATAGAACTAGTTTTATCTTTACAGATGGGGAAATCAAGTATGATTGTGTTAGTCAGCTTTCCATTTCTGTTACATAATACCTGAGATAAACAACTTATAAGAAGGAAAGTTTTATGATGGTTCACAGTTTGAGGTTTCAGTCCATGGTGGGTGGACTTCATTGCTTTTGGGCATTGGTGAGGCAGAACATCATGGCAGGGAGTGTGTGGTGGAGCAAAGCTTCTTACTTCATGGTGGCCAAGAAACAGAGAGACAGGAAAGGAGCTGGGGTCCCAATATTCCTTTCAAGATACCTCCCCACCATGACCTAACTTTCCTCCATCAGGCGCCAACCCCTGAAGGTTGGATTGCCTCCAAATAGCACTACAGGCTGGGAATCAAGCCTTTAGCAAATGGGCCTTTAGAGGACATTTAAGATCCAAGCTGTGCTGGATATGGGGCAGGCACCTGTAATCCCAGTTACTCAGGAAGCTGACACAGGAGAATTGCAAGTTTGAGGCCACCCTTGATAACTTAGCTAGACCCTACCTCAAGATTTAAAATAATAATAATAATAATAATAATAATAATAATAATAATAATAATAATAAAATAAAACAATAATACCAAAAAAAAAAAGACTACAGATGTAGCTCAGTGGTAGAGCACTTGTCTGCCATGCATGAAGCCCTGGATTCAATCCCAACTACACACACACACACACACACACACACACTCCAAACTATAACACTATAACTTTAGATGTCTATCTTCTACCTTAAACTACTGCCTACCCATTGTCTCCTGTTATCTCCCTACTTGTTAAATTGCAGGGAATGTAAGAGAGGCTAGAATTTAGAGAGTGACAGAACCATAATTTGAATGTATATCTATTCCAATCCGTAGTCTATGGTTTTCCCATTCTCCTGAAAGCTGGAATCCTAGATATCATCTCATTTTCTGGTTATCAAACGGAGTTCCAAGGATACTAGATGTTCAAGGAGGTAGAAGAAAACTTGGTCTGTGTGGGTAGGGAGGAACTGTGAGAGGAAGGCTAGATCAGTTAACTTGGGATCCACTTCAAACAAGAAAGCATTATTTCCATCTGTTTTACAGAGTGACTTCAGATTTTGTTTGAAACAAGCTTTTTGCTGCTACAAAAGCATTTAACTCAGGCTGGGCATAGTGACACAAAACTATAGTAATTCCCACTCAGGAGGCTGAGGCAGGAGGATCTATGAGCTCAGGAATTCGAGGCCAGTCTGGGCAACATAGTTATTTAAATAATTAAGCTTGTGTCCAGAGACATTAAATGCCTCTCCCAAGATTTTATAGAGTGCACTTACTAGAAAAACTGCTTAAACCCTAGTATTTGTCAATCCAGTCCAAAGTGACCCTTCACAGGAGACACAATAAGTGTGGGGAAGATTATTCTTTGCAAACAGGAATGGCTGAGGGAATGTGAATATCCCAGAAGCACATACAGATTATATGGGCAACTGGGCTTGTAAGGCCTAAAATTCATGCACTGCCTTGACATCTCTGGGTATTACTTGTCCCCAGAGGTCTACTGTGAGTTCCTCTGCTTTCACCTGATAAGGAGCCCCCCCAATAGAAAAGACACCTAGCTCATTCCTTATCAGCTCACTCTCCTATCCCACCACACTCTGCCCAGTCCTCAACCCAATTTCTCTGTTGGCCCATGCAATTCTTCAAACAAGCCAATCCCATCCTCCCCTGGGAACCAGGAGGTACCTCGTCTTGTTCTCACTATGTAGCATGACTCCCACAATCGCTGTTCCCTGTTCCAGAGTATAGTCACTGTGTGGCCCTGAATCCTCCTCCTCTGGGTTACAATAAGTACATGTGACTAATAAACTGCTATCGATCTTATCTGTCCAGCTTTGAGTTCCACGTGTTTCTCCATCTCCAGAGCCCTGGGGTGGGACTCCCTCCTCCACCACTGGGTGAAGAGGAGTCAAACAAAACAATGACCAGACATTAATACTAATACTAAATGGAATTTTTACAGAGAGCTAGCGCCAAATAGCCCATCCTTTGGAGTTATGCTAAGTGTCAGGCTATTTGCAAATAGAAATGAATTTTCACTGAAATTATGTCAGTCAGAACTGACCTTTATTAATTTCAAGACCCCTGAGCTTTGCCATCTGCTCTTTTTAATTTTTGAGATTCTCACCTAGAGATTTTGGGGAGCAATAGCACTCTTCTCTTTCTAGAGGAGGCTTAACTACAGTCCTGCCTAAAGGCAAAGGAATAAAACGATGACCTTCCATTCCTGTGATTTAAATCTCTGCTAACTGCATTCTTTCAGGAAATTGTAGCAGAAAGAATTTTTCTCATTTCTACAGACATTATAATAAACAGATCTTTTATTTCCATCTGAAACATCCTAATATTAATATATTTCCAAATTCTCAGTCTGAGATAACAGAGATTTAGAGGTAATTTCTTTTCCTGTTCATGAGATTTACAATAGGAAGGTCATGTTTGTACTAGACTTTGGTTTGAAATTAATCTTCTTTTCTCCTTTGGCATTTCTATAGAATCCAGGCACTTCATTATTTAGTCATTTCCAAATATGAAATACTTGTCATTCTTGAACAACGATCTAATCTTCCCTTTATGGGTGGAGAAACTGCGTTGTGGAACTTGTAAATCTTTGCCAGGGCATAGATCACTCAAGGTTGGGA